ATCGGTGGTGGGAGGCGTGAAGAAAGGGGGGAAGGGTGCTGGACCTGCCGCGTTCGTTCTCGATACTGGTGAAAGGGAAACCAAGAGCGCCGTACCCGGTTGCCCCGTTCGTTGAGGGTATCCTGGCGAGCCGACGGTGCTGCGGCAGGGAGCGGAGGATGGTGATGGAAGGAAGGGCAGAAGACGAGGGAGGGGGTGAGGGCGAGGGAGGCCTGGTGGGGCATGGCACACCGCCCGCCCGCGTCCCCCGCCCCAAAAAGCCAGCGGGCGCGTGCGTTGGACGGCTTTCAGCGGCCACCGCCTGCTCGTCCAAAAAGCCCAAACGGCGGGCCAACCGAAGGCCTGGCCAAAATTGCGGGGTAGCCGAATCACAAACGAGCGTCATTCGTCGACCGAGCGAGCGAACGGCACCTCTTTCTCCCTCGCGACCCGACCTGCCGCCTCGCAAGCTGACCTCTTTTTCGCAGCCATGGTCGTCATCGACTATCGCCAAACCGGCAGGGATGTGTGTGCAATTCCATCAGAATGTAGAGCGTGCGGCGTGAGAGGGCGTTTGCAGAGAGCGACAGAGCGACAGAGGAGAGAGCGGAGCACCACGAGTGGGCAAGAAAACGAGGGCAGGCGGGATGAAAGACGCCCAGCGGGCGCGACGTGGCCGATTATCGGCGGCCGCCAGTGACGCGGACAAAGATGCGGAAGAGCGACACCTGCGGTTCAAGCAAGAGCAGGTCAGCGGAGCAAGGGGGGAAAGAAGTCGAGGTCAGCAAACCACCCCATGATGCACCGCCGCAACAACACCTGCAGCAGCCACGCTCCTGCACTCACCGTCAAGACGATCAGGTATGCCAGCAGACTGACAAACACCAGCCCAATCAGCGCGCCCTGCAGCCGGCAGAGGTAGGGCTTCTTGGACATGTCGAGCAGCGGCTGCGGGTCCCGGTTGTTGGACCCTCCAAATGGGTTGCCGAAGCTGACGCACACCAGCGTCGACGTAAAGTAGTTGTCGAACGCCAGCGACAGCTCGGCCGACCAGAAGCAGATAAAGATGAGCTCAATGATCGTGTAGAAGAGCTTGGACTGCACCGTCCAGAGCCCAATCGGGCGGCCAAAGTACTCGATCCAGATCTGGAACGCAATGTGGACCAGCGTCAGCGGCGCAAAGACGATGGCCACCACGGGCGACGAGCCCACGGCGTCCGTCGCCTGCTGCTCGTGCAGCGTCTGGAACAGCTCAATGGCCACCGCCAGCGTCGCCGTCGTGAAGCTGATGTTGAGGAAGCGGAAGAGCAGCGGGACGAAGGGGTTGTGGATGAGGAAGTTCTTCCACCACTCGAGCCACGCACGCCGCCGCCGCCGCGACGACCGCCCCGTGTCGGTGCGCGGAAAGTATCCCGTGCCGTTGGGCCGGAAGCGGTACCCGTCGATCTCGATCGAGTGGCCGCCGCCGCGCTCCTCTGGCTTCCACGGCGACGCCCAGCCTGGCGTGGCGGGCTGGTGCACCGTGTAGACGTCCGGGTGCTCCATCCGCGCCTTGAACGACATGGTCGGGTACTCTTTCTCGTCGAGCTGCTGCTGCTGCTGCCGCTGCTGGTTCTGCTGCTTCTCGAGATCGACGTCGCTATTCTGATGCCCGTCTTGGTCGCCGTCGCTGTTGCCGTCGTCGTCGCTGTACCGCTTCGGCTGTCGCTGTTGCTGGTGCTGCTGCTGCTGGTCGCCGGGCCTCTGGCCTTCGCCGCTGGGTGTGAGGGTGCGCTCGGCCGACTGCGACGAGTGTCGCTTCTCAAAGTACGAGGGACGCTGGCCGCCGTGCCTCCAATTGAGCAGCCCGCTCTCGCCCAGTCCCGCGGCTGCCCCGGCGCCCGAATTGGCGGCGAGACCGTCGTCAAAGAACCTGCCCCTCCGCCCGCCGTCGTCGTCGCCGTCGTCGGACTCGTAGTCGCTTCCCACCGAGTCCTCGCGCGACGAGTTGGTGCGCTTCTTTTTGGGCGGCTTGGCCTTGGGCCCCGAGCCGGAGCGCTGAGGCGTTGGTTTCCCCCTGGCTGTGTCCTTGTCCGCAGTAGTGCCGTGGGCGGGAGGAGCGGCAGCACCGTTGGCCTCTGCGTTTTCCTTGAGGCGCTGGTGGTGGAACGACATCTTGAGGTGATGCTCATGCAGGCGAGTGCGGTACTTTTGCGGCAGGGTGAAGGTCCACCAGCGTTCGGGCGAGTCGAGCGCAGCCTCGCCGGGCTCCTCGGTGATGGTATGCGTGGCGGTGCCGGGTGCGCTGGGCCAGGTATTTGTGGCCTCGGCGGTGGCCCCGTCGGTGGGTTCGTGTGCTGGCTCTGGACTGGGCGCCGTGACGGCCTGGCCGCTGGCATCGAGGCGGGGTGCGGGCTTCGTGGTAGGCGAAGGGGCGAGGGCGCGATCTGCGGTGGCATTGCTGGCGCTGTTGATGCTGCTGCCGCCGTTTGCGTTGTTGCGCGATGCGGTGGTCGAGGTGATGTTGCTCGAAGTGGGCGAGAGGGGTGGGCTAGGGGATTCGTCTCTGGCCCACGAGGGGATGGTGACGACTGGCCTGTTCCAGCCCCTTGTCGACGAGGCCCTGTACGAGGAGCCGGGGCTGGGGTTGGCTAGCCTGTTGATCCTGCTGCTGGGGTTCATCCTGGGCGACGTGGTGCGGGTGTTGTTGGACTCTGTGGACGGGCGTACGGTCGAGGCCGAGGATGCGCCGTTTTCCCTGCGCTGCTGCTGCTGCTGGCGCTGAGAGCGCGTGCGCTGTGATGATGGCGAGCGGAGGTGTTCGAAGCCGGGAGCGCCAAGGGAGACGGAGGCCACCTTGGGTGAGCTGGTGGGTGGTGTTTGTGCCGAGGGCGGGTGGTCGCTGTTGGAGTGACCGTTTGAGCTCGATAGGCGTTCGCGGTGGAGGGAAGGGCTTGCGAGGAGGCTCTGTTCGTCGAACTGGACCGAAGGGAGTGCCGAGGTGCTGGCGCGCGCGGTGGAAGATGAAGCAGAGGAGGCGGGAAGATGTGCGCTGTTGCGGAGGGCGGACGGGGGTGGTGAGAGCGAGGGATGTGTGGTGTCTGCTGGTAGCGGTGGCTGCGGCTGCTGCTGCGCGGGTAATGGTGATGCGTGCGACATTGCTGGCGCGCGATCTGAATTGGTCGAGGTGAGGAGCAAGGACGTGGGCGATGCAAGCCGGCGGATGTGTTTTTCTCGTCGTTGCCAGGAGGTGGTGGGGAGGGCAAGGGGTGCAGTGCGAGTCTGGCGTTGGATGGGCGGGGTGTTGCGTGCGAGGGCGATGTGAGCGCAGTGGCAGCAGTGACAGTGGTGGCAGGTAAGTCCCTCGACGGTGTTGGTAGAGAGAGGCTGGGCTTGGCGGGGAGGATGGTGGTGGTGATAGTGACGAGGTGATGGTGACGATGGCGAAGGCGGGGCGGGGCGGGGGCAAGGCCGGCGTACGTGTACGTATTCCCTCTAGCCTGCTGTACCGGTGGCAGCCTATGACGGTGGTGTCGGTTGGGCTGGCGGCCCTGCGCTGCCTGCCAGCTGGTTGGAAGCGAGGGGCGAGATGCAGGCCTGCTTTTTTCCAGTGTGCTTGGCGCAGAGAAGCCCCGTCTTAGCTTGCTGGGCTGTCGGTCTTGCTTGGCCTCGAGGCTCGAGGCAGGCAGGCCTGGACCCCGACAGCCAACGCGCCGCCTGCCTGCCCCGTCTGGCGTGCCTCGAGGTTGGTGGCCGGGGGGGTCCAAATTTGGGAATCCAGCCAGCAGGCCAGCCAGGCCAGGCCAGGCTTGGCTTCTGCTTTTCGGAGCGCGTCACTTTTCCGCGTTCCGCGCTCGACAGCTTTGTCCGTCGGACGGCAATTTTGGATCTTCCAGACGCCGCTTCTTGGTGCCCTCGATCTTGTGGTCCTCCGCTCCTTCCTCCCGCAGTCGACCCTGCCTCTGGACTGGACCATGACTTCGCAGCCTCTGCCGTCGACGGCCAGCGCGCCACGGCCAGGACCATCACAGCGTCGTCGCGCACCAGCAACAACACCGCCACCGCCATCCACCCACCATGCCACAAATCGACCCAACATCCACCAACACGTCTCCTACCTCTCGCCCACCCAGACCGACTCGCCCTACCCGCCCCTCCCCGCTTCCCTCTCCCTCCTGCCCCGCACCACCCAGCATGACGCGCCCGCATTCCTCCCCATCCTAGCCGCACCCGCCTACGCCCCTCTCGACGCCTGGCACCACGTCATGGACGACCTCATCCGCCACCCGGAACGCAACTCGTCCAACATCCTCCGCGCAGACATCCTCGAGCAGCAAACCTGCGATTCCACCAGCAGCAACGACGCTGACATCGACGGCTATCGTCCCATCAAGCGCATCCGACGCAGCATCCTCCCGCGCAGGCCCGGCCTCGACTGGGAGATGCACCAGGAGTGCACCCTCTACCACCGCACCGACCCCCTCGACGCCTCGTCCATTCGCGAGGCCGTCGTTGTATACACGCCCATCGCATCTCCGCAGGCAAGACAGCGCTTTTCAGAAGGCTGGATCGACGACCCCACCCGTCGCCTCTCGTTTCCCAGCCACGAGGAGCAGATCCCCTTTTACCACCCAAAGGTGCGAGCCATCGCCTTCCGCTACTTTGTCTCGCAACCGCAGCCGCAGTCGCAGCATGACGGTGCCGAAGCTGCTGCCTCTTCCCACGACGACGACGCCGAACGGTCGCTCCCCATATTTGGCACGCACAGCATCGCCCTCGTCCCCTTTGGCCCGGACCAGTCCGCCGCGCTGCCACCGACGCACCGCCTGGCGCGGATATCGCTGCACCTCGTCACCACGCTCCACACCCACACCTGGGGCCGCACCCACAACTACGTCAAGCGCGTCCACCACGACGTCGTCGTGCCGCGCGAGGCCTTCCAGGACCTCTACCTCCAGCTCAAGGCACGCCACGCCTCGCACCTCATCGCCACCTGGGCCGAGCGCACCGACCCGTCCAAGCACGTATTCGAGGACCTCGGCATCGCCGCCTTTCTCATCCTCCTCTGGCGCAAGTGGTGGGGTGACGCTACCACAGGTCCGCCCGGCGGGTTCGTCGACGTCGGATGTGGCAACGGCCTGCTCGTCTGGATCCTCAACCAGGAAGGGTTCCAGGGGCACGGGTTCGACCTGCGCGCCAGGCGCAGCTGGGCAACGTACGGCGACGGAGCCGATCTGAGGGAGCACAAGTTCCATGTGCCCCGCTTTGTGGCGCGGCGACTTGAGCGGGCCGGCGAGGGCGAGGACGAGGGCAAGACCGAGCCGGCGTCGACAGCAGAAGCGGTAAACGGCGACGAGGGCGATGGCGACGACGACGACGACGAGGCAGTGGCGAACCTCTTCCCACCGCACTGTTTCCTGATCGGCAACCACGCCGACGAGTTGACACCGTGGCTGCCGCTCCTCTCGACCTCTCTGGGTCTAACGACGGGGTGTAGCGGGTTCATCAACATACCGTGCTGTCCCTTTATGCTGGGCGGGGACAAGTTCACTTCGATGCGCTACATTCCCATCGAGCGCGACGACATCGTCCCGCTCCTCTTTCCCCACCATCCCTCCTCTTCGTCGCTGTCGGAAGAGGAGGAGAAGAGGGTGGAAGAGACGGTGACGGCCATGCAACGCGGACCCACATCGACGGAAGGCGGCGAATCGAGAAATGGGGCCTACCTCTCCTACCTCTCCCACCTCCACGTCAACCTCGGTTGGACAATGGAAAAAGAGGCACTCAGGATCCCCTCGACCAAGAATTGGTGCATCGTCGGTCGAAACCTCTTTCTCGACTCAGTCGACGACGTCGAGCATCGGCGTCGGATGAGGACCGAGTTGAGAAAACGGTGCATCGACGCCGTCTCGGCCACGACGACGTCTTGGTCGCCCCGCGTCGGCATCTAGTAATCTCCACGCCTCTCCACATCACACCATACCTCCGCTAGTCTCTCCGCCCGAAAGCAAGGCACGGCGGGACGATGGCAATCCCGACCACGATGGGGCGTTGATAAGCGGATTCCCCCAACTGATCTCGACCGACTGATCGACCGACCGACTGGCTGGCTACTCCGAGTGCCATCCGTATCGGATAAAGGCGTCCACCGTCGCCGTATTGGCCTCGAGGAAGCCTTCGAGGAGCGAGCGCGCCTCCATGTAAGCCCACAGCTTGAGCATCGGCATCGCCGATCCCGCACCGGACCCCTCGGACGGCGCAATCTTGGGTCCCTCGTGCTTGGAAATCTGCCGTCCCAGCGATCGCAGGATCGGCAGCGCCGACTTGAACAGCTGTAGGCGGGCAACGCGAGGGCCGACATAGAGCAGAGGAGGGCGGAGGGGGGGAAAGACGGCAAGGAGGGATGACTCAGTACGGTGGCGGAAATGCAAGCAAAACCCGCGACGACCGACGACCGACGACCGACTCAACTCACGTCCATGTTGGGGTCGAGCTGCCTGCCGATGCCCTCGAGCAGCAGGATGCTAATGACGGTGTTGACAAAGTCGGCTTCCATCTTGACGTGGTGGTTGCGCACCGCCAGCAGCACCTCGTTGAGCACGTCGCTGATCTTGATCTTGGCCAGGCTGAACGTCTTGCTCTTGACGCTCAGGATGAGGTCCTGCATCTTGAGCGCGAACCCTTCCTCGTCAATCACCATGTCCGGCGACCGGCACCGCTCCACCATCAGGTGGCCCGCCAGCGCACCGTCAAACTCGGCCACGGCCGAGAACAGGTCGAGGAAGTTGCGCCGGTTCTGCGGCGTCAGCTCCACCGTCAGGCCGGCGTCCAAGAAGACGAGCTCGGGCTGGTAGCCCTGCAAGTCGAGCCGGTCCAGCTCGTCGAGCCACGCGTCGTGGTCGTGCCGCAGCGAGTGCAGCTTGGCCACCACCGACTCCTCAGCCCGGTCGTCGGCCGGCGGCGGCGCCTTGGCGTGGCCCGGCGCGTAGTCCGAGTCGAACTTGGACAGCACCCGCGCCAGCAGGTCCTTGAGGAGCGACTGCGTCGTCGGGCGGTAGAACTTGATCATGATGTTGCCCGGATGCAGGTCGGCGTGGGTGAAGTTGTCGATCAGCAGCATGTTCTGTGTGAAAAATGGGGCAGCCGGGCAGTTCGGGCCACGGCAAGAGGGGTTTTCGAGGACAATCAGCGATCCAGGTTCAATCCGACGGACAAGGAACAGTGCGCCCGCGCTCGAGCCCAGGCTGTCCTGGCTCGACCCGGCTCGACCCGGCTCGGGCCGACCGTCTACTCACCAGGAACGCATCGAGGCCGAGGTTGGCGATGCGATGATCGAAGCCGGCGCCTCCGTTGTTCAAAAAGTGCTTGAGCGGCAGCGCCTCCTCGAACTCCTCGATAAGCACCTGCTTGGTCGAGAAGCGCATCAGCGGCCGCGGGAAGCTGATGGCGCTCCTGCGACTGCTGAAGGCCTTTTCGAACCGGTCGAGGTTCTTGGCCTCGTTGCGCAGGTCGAGCTGCGAAAACATCATGTCGGCGAAGACGTCGACCTCTTCGGGGAACGACAGCCACTCGGCGCCCGGAATCAGGTTGACCAGGTTGGCAAAGAAGCGCATAATCTTGATGTCGCGCGCGATCGTCTTTTCGACGCGCGGGTGGAGGATCTTGATGGCGACGGCGGCGGTGGGCACGGCGGGCGGCGCCTCCTCCTCCTCGTAGGTCAGCGCCAACGTCTTGGACAGCTTCTGCCTCCGCTCGCTCTTGGATGTCCGCTTCTTGGGATCCAGGTAGGTCGGCGGCAGCAGGTCCGGCTTCAGCGTCGCCTTGTACACCTGTGCCACCGCGCCGATGCCCATGGGCTCGTGGCCAAACTCTTCAAAGATCTCGTCGAATCGGCGGCGGAAGACACGCTCGATGACGCGCTTCGTGTAGCGGAACGAGTGCGGCTTGCCGTTGGAGTGGAGCCGGCCGAGGCGCTTGCAGAGCTCGTCTGGGAACAAATCCTGCCTCGACCCCGCCCACTGGGCGAGCTTGATGAACGTCGGACCGGCGCGCTCCATCTGCTTGACCAGGAAGCCGTACCACCACAGAGCGCCCCATCGCTCCCCCTCTTCACGCTTGCTCACCCGGCGGCCCCTTCGCCTGCCCCCCTCGCGGCGGTGTCCGACCATGAGCATGGGTGCGGTGAGGATGACGGGCAGGAAGAGGACCACGAGCACAATGAAGCGCTTGGCGGTGCCCAGCGGCTCGATGATGTAGGCGTGGATGGCGTTGCCGGTGCGGAAGAGGAAGCGGACGACGACATTTCGCCGGCGCGGCTTTAACCCTTCGTCCATGAACTGGTGCTGATCTTGGCCGTCCGCGCCGTCCCCATCGCCTTCGTCATCATCATCGTCGACGGGCGGTGCGAAGCCGCCGTGCTTGTCGCTGTCGGCAGGATCGGACGTCGAGTCCGCAAAGAGGGTGGGGTGGGTGAGGAAGATTCCGTAGAGCGCCAGCGCTGCGGCGGCAGCAGCTGCGGCCGAGCCAGTCAAGACGCGGCTGCCACTGCCGTCAGTAGAGCTGTGAGAGTTGGAGGAGCCGGAAGGAGATGGCGAAGTAGGCGTTCGTGCTGACGTCGAATAGCTAGCGCGAGACGCTAGCGGTGCAAGCTCGCGTAAAGTCGGAGTGCGGCGGGATGGCGGTCTGCTACTTGTCGAGCAGCTCGACGAGAAGAAGGCGTGCGGGGTCGCTCCTGAAGAGAGGCTGGCGGACGGTACGACGAGGTTCGAGAAGGCAGGACGTGGTGACGCTGCGGTGCTTATCAACCGGGAAACGCTCGTCCGCGAGGAGAGGGTCAAGCCTGAGCCGGCTAGAAAGGTTCGCCGACATGACCTCGACAAGAGGCGCTGCGTGGCCATCATGCTGGTGTGGTCGCGTCAAGCAGTGAGCCGGGGTCGGTGTTGGCGACCAGAAAGGGCGTCGATTCGGGTCCGTACGTCGTCGGTCGAAGCCCGTCGCTGGTGGACGCAGCCGGCAGACGCAGTCGCAGTCGCCGTCACGGTCGCGTGCCGTGCTCCTCGAGCGCTGGCGGTGGGGCTGTAGGGGATGGCGGGAGGGAAGGCAGCGGGTAGCGGACGGCCCCAAAGAGGATCAGAGTGGCGGTGGTGATGGTGCTGACGATGTTCGGGAATGCCGCCGTCGCTGTTGTCGACAAAGACAAAGACGACGGAAGGGCCGACGTGCCTGATGATGAACCCTTGCTTGCCGTGCCTTGCCTTGCCGTCCCTTGCCTCTTGGCTGGCTGGGCCAGTGGCTGCCTTCGAAGGCCTCTCTGCCTGGCTGTGAAAGCTCGCTCAGCAAGCCAGGCCACACACAGACGCCCGCCCATGCCAGCTCGGGCCAGGCCTGGCCTGGCATGACGTACGCTGCAGGCGCCTCCAGCCTGTCGTAGAGGTGGAGCCGGAACGGGCCGTCGCCGATGCCGATTGGAAAGTTGTTTCGGAGCCTTGCCGATGTCGAAAGTCGGCCCGATCGAGCTGCCAGGGGATCGCCAGGGGGCCGCTGGTGTTGGTCTCGGGCCGCCTCCGCCTTTTTGGGATGGGCGTTGGACCCCTTTGTTCCAGGGCCTGGCTGGGCTAGGCTGGGCTGAGCTGGCGTCGCCGCTTCGGCCTGTGGTGATCCTGTCCCTTCTGCTTGCTTCATCTTCCGTCGAGCATCGTCGCGCACCTCTTTCTTCTCCTCTTTGCTCGCCACTCGACCCAGCGTTGCGCTCCTTGTCCACCGAGGCCATCAGGCTTGGCCGCTGCCGACCGCCCACATCGGAACCTTGCCGGTCCGGCGCCGCTTTCAACCCACCAGCGGCACTTGCTCATCCGAAGACGAGTCAACAACACCTCGGGACGTCACTCGCCGCCGTCGATTATCGCCTCAGCATCGCCTTCGCTCCGTCTCCCTCGCTCTCTTTCAACAGATAGAACTGCAGCCGCCTCTCGGGCCGTATAGGGCATCCGTCTCTGAGCTGCTTGGACGCCCGACAGGCTGGCCCGATTCGCTCTACCTACGTACGACTTGGCCCCTGCAAGAGCAGCTCGGACCTCCTCCCGCCGGACGATCTACAGGAGCGAATCTCCTCTCCTTGGCCATTAATTGTCACTCTGCCACGCGCCCACTGCTCGGCGCTAGATCAGCCCCTGCCCGTTCCCCGAACACCCACTCTCTCGGACCACCGACCCAACTGCACGACGCACAGGCGGGCCCATGTCGGAGCGAAATGGGTGGCCCACGCACGCCAGCCCAAGCTCGTTGCCCTCGTCACCCCTGCAATCGTTCCGCAAGCCCGCCTCGGCATCGCCGCTGATGCCTCCAGCATCCATCGCACCAACAAGGGCCGCCTCTGCATCACAACCTCACCAGCATATACGGCCACAGCCGCAGCCGCAGCCACAGCCGCAGCCACCACCACAACCGCACCAGCGGCAAGGATCCGACGGCGGTGGTTACAGTTACTCCTTTCACCCAACCCAGAGCACGGTCCGCCGCTGGTCGGCTCATCAGACCGGCTCCGTCGCAAACCCTGACTCGAGCACCTCGACCAGCACCGCCAGCAACGCTCACCATCACCTCGACACACGCAACCCTAGCCCGCCGCTTCGCATCCGTGGCCCTCTTGGCTCACGATCCTCGACACCCACGCCATCGCATCCTACGCCAAAGAGCCCTGCGACGTCCGAACCTCCTTCCTCGCCACTGCCAGGCAAGATGCGGCATGGTGCCGATTCCATCACGCAGACGGACGGCACTGGGGTCGGCGCGAGCAGCAGCAGCAGCAGCAGCAGCAGTCGCGCTAACGGCCAGGGCAGCAGGAGCCCTGTACCGTCGGATGGCGTCCATCGCAGCAAGAGCACCGCCGCCGTCGTGGGTCGGATGGCCGACACGGCGGGCCAGCGGTCCATCACCCACGTCGGCCGGAGCGCCTCGACCGCCGCCCTGTCGCCGACGCCCTCGCCACCGCGCACCGGCGCATCTGGCGGCAACGGCCACCTCGCTCACTACACGCTCGGCGACTGCCTGGGCCGCGGGGCGTTTGGTTCCGTCTTTCGCGGCCTCAATTGGATGACGGGCGAGACGGTGGCCGTCAAGCAGATCCAGCTCGGCAACATCCCAAAGTCGGAGCTCGGCGAGATCATGTCCGAGATCGACCTGCTCAAGAACCTCAACCACGCCAACATCGTAAAGTACAAGGGCAGCGAAAAGACCAAGGACTACCTCTACATCATCCTCGAGTACTGCGAAAACGGCTCGCTCCACGGCATCCTCCGCCGCTTTGGCAAGTTCCCCGAGGGCCTCGTCGGCGTCTACATCTCCCAAGTGCTCGACGGCCTCCTCTACCTCCACGAGCAGGGCGTGATCCACCGCGATATCAAGGGCGCCAATATCCTGACCAACAAGGACGGATCGGTCAAGCTGGCCGACTTTGGCGTCGCCACCAAGACGGGCGCGATGAACGACTATGCCGTGGTGGGCAGCCCGTACTGGATGGCGCCCGAGGTCATTGACCAGAGCGGTGCCACGACGGCGAGCGACATCTGGAGCGTTGGCTGCGTCGTCGTCGAGCTGCTCGAGGGCAAACCGCCCTACCACTTCCTGGCGCCCATGCCCGCCCTCTTCCGCATCGTCCAGGACGACTACCCGCCCATGCCCGAGGGCGCCTCGCCCATCGTCAAGGACTTCCTGCTGCACTGCTTCCAGAAGGACGTCAACCTGCGCGTCTCGGCACGCAAGCTGCTCAAGCACCCCTGGATGGTGGCGGCGCGCAGGCAGCTCGATCAGATGAAGAGCGGCGGCTCGCTGCGGGCCGCAGGCACCACCGCCGGCGCCACGGTCCACGACGAGGCGGTCAAGAGCGTCCGCGAGTGGAACGAGGCGCTCCAAGAGCCAATGGTGGGCCACCAGAGCAACCACGGCGGCGGAGGATTCAACAACGCCGCCGGCAGCACTGGCAGCAGCCCCAATCCGAACCAGCACCTCGGCAAGGGAGGCTCGCCCCGCATCAACGATGCCGCCACGGTCCGGCCTCCCGCTCACAACAAGCTGCGCCGCGTGTCGGCTATGGCCCCCGTTGGACACTCCCAGGACGGCGCCACGGCACGTCCCGGCTTGCTGAAGCCCAAGGCCGGAATGCGACCCACCCTACCCGCCGACTTTGGGGTGCAGGATAGCGAACCCAGCCCTGCCGTAGCTGCTGCACGGAAGCCGCTCGAGCTCAACACGGCGGCCGCCGCCGCCGCCAGAGAGCCGCCCAGCTCGCCGACTACGAAGCTGCCTCTCGCCGGGGCCGCACCGGCGCCGTCGCTCATGGATCAGCGTTCCAAGCTCGTCGATCTGCAGAGGCCCGAGGAGGACACCGACAACTGGGATGACGATTTCGAGGAGGGCATCACAACGACCAAGATAGCTGCGCTCGAGAGGAGCGCTCCGATCGACGACGGACACGCTCGGAAGAGGGATGATGCGCCTGGAGCCGCCCCGGAACGCTCGACCGCCGCTGCGGGCGGCGACGATCGGCGCGGTGGGGCGCATGCCGACTACGATCAGCAGACGATCCGACCGTCGCCTTTGCTGCGAAGCGTCAGCTCGCTGCCGCAGGTCGGTGCGCCCAGGCAACAACCGCCCGCCTCAGCCTCGACCCCGCTGCCCCCTCCAAGCCCGTCTGCCTCTGATTCGTCGAAACCGGATGGAGGCAGCAGCGTCGAAGACTACTCGGACCTCATCGAGGAGGCGGACGAGTCGCATCTCAACGCTCGGATCCAGAACCTCAAGCTACAGAACAGCGTCGGCAAGCGGCTCTTCCACCCCGACGACCTGAAGCGTTTGTCGCGTCCCGAAGACGAGCGCTGGGCGCTCGGCCTGACCACCGATGAGGCCGGACCGCCGCATCTCCGGAGCGAGGCGTCGCCGCAGTCGACCACCGTCATCAGACCCATCAGTCCGACGGCGTCGCGCGCCAACTCGCTGAGGGCGGGCAAGGATGACAAGTGGAAGGAGATGCGCCAGGCGCTGGGCAAGTACGCCGAAGAGGGCGGCGACGAGGACTACTCGGACGTGTTTGGCAAGGCCTTTTCGGGGGCATTAGGGGGACGGCTGAGCCTTCCCGACCCGCAGGGCCCGCTGCAACTGACGACGCGCCTGTCACAGCGGTCTTGGCTGGGCGACGACCGGGACGACGAGGACGACCCCTTTGCCGAGATCGACGAGGACCTCGACGCCGAGGCCGACATGGAGGCCAACGTGGCCAGGGACAAGCACGCCCGCATGTGCACCTACGTGTCTGACCTGGTCGATTCGCTCAGCCCGGACGCGCCCGATCGGGAGCTGCTGCGCGCCTGCGAGCAGATCGACGAGGTGCTGACCGACATGCCCGAGATGAAGATGCAGCTGCTCGGTTGCCACGGCGCGCTGGCGCTCATCCAGCTGCTCGAGATCGCCACCGAGACTGAGCTGGTGACGAGGCTGCTGGGCATCCTCAACCTCATCATCTTCGACGATCCCGAGGCCCAGGAGAACCTGTGCCTGATCGGGGCGATCCCCGTCGTCATCAACTTTACCACAAAGAAGTGGTCGCACGAGCTGCGCCTCGAGGCGGCCCACTTTGTGTTTGCCATGTGCTCGACGTCGCGGCTGACGCTGCAGTTCGTGCTGAGCTGCCGCGGGCTGCGGACGCTCGTCGACCTCATCGACGAGGACTACGCCGATCGCAAGGACCTGGTGTGGATCGGCGTCGGCTGCGTGTCGAGCGTGCTCGAGCTGCAGAGCCCGGCGTCGCGCACCGACTTCTGCCGGATGCTGGCTCAGGATGGCCTGCTGGAGCCGCTGTCGACGGCGCTGCTCAGCGTCGTCCGCGATGCCGAGGACCCGTACGCCCAGCAGGCGCAGGCCCACATCCTGCAGACGTTCCTCATCTTCTCTCAGTCCGATGGCTGGCTCAAAAAGAGCCTCGCCACCCGCAGCGTGCTGCGCAAGCTGCTGCAGGCGACGCAGATGCTCGGGCCCGAGCCGCTGATCCAGATGCTCAAGATCCTCAAGAACCTCACCATGAACCCGGCCACGCTCGACGAGATCCAGAACGCCAACACCATCGAGATCCTCGTGCGCATCCTGGCCGAGCACCACGGCGGCGCGCACGGTACCGAGATGTCGAACCAGGTGCTCAACGCGATGTACAACCTGTGCCGCCTGAGCAAGTCGCGCCAGGAGGAGGCGGCCGAGTCGGGCATCATCCCGCAGCTGCTGCGCGTGGCCCAGACCAAGTCGCCGCTCAAGCAGTTTGCGCTGCCGATCCTCTGCGACCTGGCGCACACGGGCAAGGGGACGCGCCAGCTGCTCTGGCAGCACCGCGCGCTGCATTTCTACGTCGGCCTGCTCGAGGACCCGTACTGGCAGGTGTCGGCGCTCGACTCGATCCACGTCTGGCTGCAGGACGAGACGCACCGGGTCGAAGAGGTGCTGCTGCAGCCTTCGTCGGTCGACTCGCTCCTCTGCCTCTTTGCCACGTCCAAGGCCAACTCGTTCGAAAACCTGCTCGAGCCGTACCTCAAAATCTGCCGGCTATCGACGGCCATCACGATCGCCATGGGCAAGAACTCGGCCTTCCTGCGCAAGCTCGTCGACCGTCTCAAGCACCCAAAGGCCGTGGTGCGCCTCAACCTGCTCAGGCTGACAAAAATGGTCTGCGACGTGCATCCGGACCGCGGCACGCTGATCCAGCAGTTCAGCCTGTACGAGGTGAGTTGCGGCGCGGCGCGGCGGCGCAGCTGCTGTAGACGGATGCTGATGTGACTGACGACGAGACTGACCATGTTCGATTCGCTTCCTGCGCGTGACTCCCTTTCACCCGTCCCGGCTCTGCCCTCGTCCAGATTATCGACCAGCTCAGCAAGCACGATGGCGCCGTCCTGGTCCGCGAGCTCGCGCGCGACATCCTCTCGCAGCGCTACATGCAGGCCGAGCCGCGCACGGTACGCAGGACGATGTCGGACGTCGGCAGCAGCACCATCGGCAGCAGCAGCCCGGCTGTGCAGCCGATTCCGGACCAGCGGCCCGGCGCCACCGGCCTCGGTGGGCTCAACGGCGGTGCCGAAGTGCCTGCGCGAGTCCGTCCCGGGCGACGCCCGCAGCAACAGCTCGAAGACCACCAGCATCAGGTGCAGGCGGCGCCGCAGCAGCGTCGCTCACCCTCGGTGCAGCAGGGCGGCTTCGCGCTGGACCACGGCTCTCCGCGGGCGCGCCGGCGACTGCCGCTGCCCGAGATTCTCGACGCTGATGCCTGGAAGCAGCTATCGTCGAGCAGCGCGCCGGACGGGCAGGAGAATGATCGACAGGGCCTTGCAGCCGGTCAGAGGAGGGCTGCACTCCGAGACCGGTCCGTCAGTCCAAACATCGGCGCGGCTACGGGCGTTGGCGCCGGACGGGTGGGCCCGCGCAGCCTGATCGAGACGTTTTCGCCCCCGTCGCCTCTGCCGCAGCAGCAACAGCATCAGCAAGGAGCGACGACGGTGACGGCGTCATCTGATCAGGCAGAGTCACGGCCGCACGGTGGGCGTCCAGCAACGAGCCCGACTGCCACCTCGCGCGTGCCCGCGGCTGGTGCGGGCATCGGGAGCGGCGGGGGCACGGGGCTGGGCCTGGGCGTCCAGGGGCGAGTGCTTTCTCCGCGGCCGCTTTCGTCGGCAGCGGACGTGCTCAACCGCGAGGATCAGGACAAGACGATGCGACCGATGAGCCGGCCGCCGAGCCGACGACCGATTCCGAGCCTGCCGACGGCGGGCCGCATCACGACGACGGACACGGGCACCGTTCGCTCGAGGACAGTGAGCAGCAGCAGTAACAGCAGCAGCAGCTCGTCGAGCGGCACCGGTATGGGCGCAGGTGGCGGGCGGTTTGCGCAGCAGCGGCCATAGTGGCCAGGCGTTGCCTTGATCCTGCCCGAGCTCCCAAGGCGGCGTGGATCGGCTGGTGTGGCCCATCGAAGCGCTCTTTCTCGCGCCACCGGCTCTCTTTTTGCCCCTTGACTGCGCATTGCGCTCGACTCTAGAGCAAGTGGGCGGCCCCCCCGCCCCTCTTCTTCCCCGACATGTCGAGCATTCTCTCCCAGGACAGGCCGTCGGCGCCACTTGCCGCCCCGTTGATGATAGACACCGCACCAGCAAAGCAGCACCTTACAGCATCCCGATCTGGCGCCATGTGGAGTGGGGCCCCACCCGCGCCACATGAACAGACCCGATGGGGCAAACGAGGGAGACAGCGTGTGGGGTGCCGATGCCGGCGCCCAGTCAATCGGCCGGCCTTGTGGCAGGCAGGCTCCGGTGCATGCCCGCCTTGCCGGGCCTGGGCTCGTTGCCGCCGCCGAAAGCGCTGATACCGGTATCGAGCAGGAAAAGAAGACGCACTAAGCAGATTCCCGAGGCATCGACGTCATCTGGTCCTCGGTCTGACGTGCCTCTCTCTTGACGCGAGGCAAGCCTGCCTGCCTGCCTTGCTGCCTCCACCGTACGTGACCACCGCCTGTCTGCCTGCCTTTCGCCTGACGAGGGCGGCCGCTGCGCCATCATCGTCTGGCCTGCTTGGTAAGGCCCCCCCCCCCCCCTGGCTTGCCTGCCTGCTCTGCTCTGAGCCAGCATCGGCATCCTCGCCAGCAAAGGCAGGCAGGCTTGAGGGCCCAGCCAGAGAGGTGTCAAAGGGTCCATCCATGCGTGCATCGCTTCCACCTCAATTACGTCGAAGGCCGGAGTCGATGGTCTCCACCCACGTCGCTGCCATCGTCCGCTCCTGCGCTCACCGCCTGCCTTTGCCCCCCACGCCTCGCGATACGGATTTGGCATCCCCCGGCCTTCGCACGGAGCAACCGACGATAGGCGAACGAAGCCTCTCGGTGCACCAGCCTACTGTAGCACCTGCCGACCTACAGTCAGAAAGCCCAAATTTAGAGCTGCTGGCCGGCCACAACCACAAGCTGCCGGCTGACCTCTTGTGACCGGTGTGGTTGCGCATGAGGGGGCCCAGGAGGTGCCGGCCTCCCTGCTGGCCTGTTCCTCCGCCAACGACGACGGATCGAGGTGTGGAGAAGCCTGCCTGCTCACAGAGAGGCGAGGTTGGTTTGGTCAGCAGGTCCGTACATCGTGCAAGCCTGGCTCGGGGTCCCTCCTGTCTCATCAGCCAGCCAGCCACCTCCTGGCCCCATGCCATCGTCGTCGTCGGTGTCGTCGTCGTTGCCGCCGCTGCTGTGGTCGACGCCTGCTCAAAGGAGGAGCGGCAGTCGAGTATAAGAACCTCCGGTAGTCATCCATCTCATCTCGGTTCGCTATCAACAGCGCCACTGCCACCACCACTCACTACCACCACTCAGTCTTGCTTCTCACGCACGCACGCTCATACACGGCACACTACACTCGCCTCTTGACCCGGAACACGCACTACTTTCTCTCGCAACTCAGCAGCCGCCTCGCCTTAGATTGATCTACGTACTCCAGCGACGTAGCCAGTCAGCCAGCCCACCATGTCGTTCGCTTCGCGCAACATGCTCTCGACCTTTGCTCGCTCGTTCGCCTCGACGTCGCGCACCTCGACCGTGCCACTCGCCACTGCTATGCGCGGTCAGCAGAGGTTCTACTCGGCCCGACCCGACCTCGCCAGCGGCCAGAGGGATGACCACGCACACGGCCCCATTCCCGGTGAGTTCCACCTGTCGCGACGGCTTTTCCCTCGCTTTCTACATCGACCCCGGCACCATGACAGCCGCGAATAGGTTATGCTAACTCCAGGAACTTCCACTGCCTCTCGTCTCCATCTCTACCAACGCAGGCGCCCACCCGAGCCCCGAGATCAACGTCGCCCGGACGCGCTCGACGATCCGCGTGCTGGTCCCCTCGGTCTCGCTCATGCTCCTCTTTATCGGCTGGTGGTTCCTCGGCCACGACGACCGTGACCACCGCAAGGCTCGCATTGATGTCGGCCCCGACGCCGACAACAAGCTCAAGGGATCCAAGCACCGCGCCGCCCTCCAGCTCCAGAATGGCGAGAGGAACGAGCTCGGCGAGAAGATCAAGTAGTGCCGCCCCATCCTGCCCCCGCTCTCCGTCTTCTTTCATGGACGAGGGCTATTCGACTGCATCGAGAGCATCTGCCACCCGTGCTGTAGCTCTTTCTCGACACCTCTCGACACCTCAGTGATCCGTGCTCCTTCTCGTCTCGCAGCTTTCCGCGAACAATGTATTTATAGCACCGCAATATCGAACCTCCATAGCAATCCCTGCGCCGTCTGACGATGTGAGATTGGTACCAGGCGACGTCGAGTATCAGGCAGCCTCGACACGATGGGGCGAAGCTGTTTCCGTGCTTGGGTCGCCAGTCTTCACAACTTAGCGCTTCTAGAAGGTTGCCGCTCTAGGTGCCGAAGCATGCGTGCGCTAGTCCGGACCTCGGAAGGAAGCGAGCATCACGCACCAGTCGCCCGCGCCGCGTCTCGAGTGCCGTAAACGCTCAGAGACGACGGCAGACGTTGTGAACGAGTCGTGCGTATGTGCAGGTAGTGTTCGGAGCATCAGAGGTAGATGCTAGGCCGTCTCTTGTTTGATCGGTTGCGTGGAGAGGGTTGACGTTGGGAAAGTCGCCGAAGGCTGGCCGCACCCGCCGTCTTGGACGGTCTGGCGTGCCTGAGGCCAGGCGGAAAGCTTTCGGCGCGTGCTGGCCCACCGCGATATATCAATGCTCCCAACGGGCCGTCCTCGACACGATCTTTTTTGGCCCCGCCCTATTTCAGGACCTTTAGTCACAAGGAGGAGCATAGCGATGTTCCGCCCTTTCAGCAGGAAGAATACCTCTTGTCGCTCTATGGTAGACCGGAATCGTACAGCACAGCAAAGCCCGGGTCAGCGGCGGCAGCAGCTCGTAGTGCGGCACAGCTGCAGGCCTCATCTGTTCCTTGGGTTCCGACCGCCTTGCCGGTGCTAGCGTCATGTTGATCCATTCTCTCCCCTTCGACTGTCCGCTCTGCGAGCCGTCTCCCAATCTGCCTTGCCTACAGCAGAGTGCAACTGCACTGGGGATCAAGAGACGAGGAGCGGCCCCCTCTGCTTGTCGACAGAAAGGCGGTCTTGACTCTCGACCACCACCAAAGCACTCACCTGCCTCAAGATCCACCCTCGTTTCACCGCCGACAAGACACCGAGCGCCATCGTCGTGTTGCAAGCTTCCGGTAAGCCCAACACTCCGTACCGCGTCGAGCCCAGCTCCCGACCTCTTCTCTGCCAATTCAAGGAACAACTTGCCTTGGGCACGGATCGGAGCGGAGCGAAGCGCAGCACAGCTCAGCGCAAGGTTGTCCGCCCTGCGGCGTCGAGGACGCTCTCAGGCGTTCGGAATCAGGACCGACTAGACGAAGATCGATAGCTCAGCTGGTCTGGCCATCGTTCTGCGCTTCGCGGATAAGAGAAGCACACATCAAGATCCGAGTATCAGGATCGAGATCAAGGTCGAAAGCGCGCCTTGCGATCGCAGCCGTTTCGAGATCATCGTCGACGGCCGGTGAAGCTCTAGGATACGCCAGTCGACACCACTGCTCCTGCCAAGCGCACATCACCGAGCTTGATATCCAGCGAGAAACCCGACTCAGGGCGCGAAAAGGACCGCTGAGCTGTAAGCCTCGCCGTCTCTCCGTCAAGTAGCTGCATCAATGGGGCGCCGACAGGGCCTCGAGTTCTGCTGCCTGGGCGTACCTCTGGTCAACGCAGGGGCGTACCTGGTGTCGTTCGAGTTCCTCTTCGTCTCGATCTGTCTCGTGGTGCTGGCGATCTGCCCGCCGCCCATCGTCGCGGCGATGGGGGTGCTCCCGCCGTGGTACAAGCTGGCCCTGATCGGTCTGGGCGGCTTCTCGATCGCGCTCCAGGTCCTCGGTCTGCTCACCATCCTGCGTCAGTCGATCGGGTGGTATCGCGCCTACATCCGCATCAACTTTGCCACCACCCTGACCGTGATTGTCGTCTCGACCATCGGTACCGTCGTCATGGCGCTGGCGCACGACAAGGCGTCGGCCATCTGCAAGAGCATCTACGGCAACGAACCCATCAACAGCGGACTCGGGTTCCGCGTCGACTACCTCTCCGACGCCCTCAAGGACTCGGGCCGGATGATCTGCAACGTGTTCACCTACGTCCAGGTCGGAGCGATAGGCGGGTTGATTGCGCTCGTCGGCTTGACACAAGTGGGTAGCGCCTCCGTTCAGCGATGTCCATTTTTGAGGATGCCGCCGATCCATCGCACTCATGACTTGACTGACCAAGCCCTTCGCCACCTTTCGAACCCTACGCGCCATCCTTGCAATGGCACGTGCAGCTCTACATGTGCTACTGCCAGAGGGTGTACGGCCAGCGGCAGAGGGAGGCTTGGGACAAGATGCACGCGCAGGATCACGAGTGAGTTTCGGGGCGGCGGGCGCGCGAAGAGACGAGGTGGATCTCCATGGATCTCGACTGACCCGAAATTACCCCCCTCATCCCATTCAACACACGCGCGGTCGCGGCAGCTACGGCGACAGCTCGACGGACAAGTTTGACCTCTCGACCTCGTCGAGCAGCCTCGTCAATCCTCACAAGGTGTAGCGCCCGCGAGGCGAGGATCTGCCCGATCGTCCGCATTCGTTCTTGCTATGGCTCGCAGCTGACAGGAGAATACAATACCCGTCGTCTGCCCTTCTCGCCTGTGTGCTGCTTCCGAGGGCATGGTAGGGTAGGTGCGAGTGACCTGAGCGGGCCAGGTGACGGGTGGCAACGGAGGCGCGGGGCCGTGTCGGATCCGAACTTGACGGGCGACGCCATTTTGAAATGCCGGCCTCCGTGATTGGCCGGGCGAAGTGACGCGGGGAGAGGCTGCTGACCAAAGCAAGCCGGCCAGGCGAGGCAGGCCAGGCCAGGCCAGCCGGACCCGCGGATTTGAACTTGGGCGGGGTGGGCAGGTCTTCTCGCAGGCGATCGCCTGGCAGCGAGCGAGACGAGGCCACACCAGGGCGAGAGCGGAAGCGGGCCTCACCTCGTTGCTGCCGCCCGCCGCCGCTGTGGTAATCCGACCGCCGTTGGCCTCGCCACACTTTTGACCATTACTCCCCTCGCACCCTTATCTTCACCCCTCCGGCTGCATCTATCTGTGCGCTGGCTTGAATCACTTTCTACGCATTCTGCTGGCCTTCACCGCCAATACCACCATCGACACCACCACCACCACCAATCGACACTACTCGCTCGCATCGTCTTGTCGGTACCTTGACCAGCACATCTCGTGCTCTCTGTAACCCGCCCACCGCCTCATCCTCGCGACCGCTGGTCGCCTTTTCTTGACCATCACCACAGCTACCAACACCATGCAGCGTGCTAGTGCGTATCACGATGTTCCCCCTCCGCCATTTCGCCATATACGCAGTCACAAAGCCTATGTTCTACGACCACGCCGCCCTCCGGATCCAGGTTGCTGACCCTGTCGCCACTCTCCCCCTTCCCATGATCTCCTTGCTCTGATTCGCCCTTTGCAGCCCTCGTTGCGCAGCGCGCCGCCCGCCAGGCTGGCGCACTCAACAAGGTGGCCAAGGTCGCCTCGGCCGCTCCCTCGCAGCAGGCCCGCGGCCTCGCCACCGTCACTGACGCGCCCGTCCGCACCCATGGCGGCCTGCGCGACCAGGACCGCATCTTCCAGAACGCCTACATGCGCCACGACCACCTCCTCAAGGGCGCCCAGTCCCGCGGCGACTGGCACCGCACCAAGGACATTCTTCTCAAGGGCCACGACTGGATCATCGGACAGATGAAGGAGTCTGGCATGCGTGGCCGTGGCGGTGCCGGCTTCCCCTCGGGCCTCAAGTGGAGCTTCATGAACAAGCCCGGCTGGGAGAAGGACCCCCGTCCCAGGTACCTCGTCATCAACGCCGACGAGGGCGAGCCCGGTACCTGCAAGGACCGTGAGATCATGCGCGGCGACCCGCACAAGCTTATCGAGGGCTGCCTTGTTGCTGGCCGTGCCATGAACGCCAACGCTGGTGAGTCATCGTCCCGACGCTGCCTGTGCTCTGTCTCGCGATCAGGAGGCGCCCCGTTTCGATGCTCTTGCTGACGCCCCGATGAACCTGTCCTGTGCACGTTGACCCACCGCCCTGGCCACTGCAGCCTACATCTACGTCCGTGGAGAGTTCTACCTCGAGGTCGCGCACCTTCAGCACGCCATCAAGGAGGCGTACGCCGCCGGCCTGATCGGCAAGAACGCCTGCGGCTCCGGCTACGACTTTGATGTCTACGTCCACAAGGGAGCCGGTGCCTACATCTGCGGCGAGGAGACGGCGCTGATCGAGTCGCTCGAGGGCAAGCAGGGCAAGCCGAGGTTGAAGCCTCCGTTCCCCGCCGACGTCGGCCTCTTTGGCTGCCCGACGACGGTCGCCAACGTCGAGACGGTTGCCGCCGCACCCACCATCATCCGACGTGGCCCTGCATGGTTCGCCGGCTTCGGCCGCGAGAAGAACTCGGGCACCAAGCTGTTCGCCATCAGCGGGCACGTCAACAACCCGTGCGTCGTCGAGGAGGAGATGTCGATCCCGCTGCAGGAGCTCATCGAGAAGCACTGCGGTGGCGTCCGCGGCGGCTGGGACAACCTGCTGGGCATCGTGCCCGGCGGTTCGTCGGTCCCGGTGATCCCGAAGCACGTCTGCGAGCGGGCGCTGATGGACTTTGACTCGCTCCGCGAGAACCAGACGTCGCTGGGAACGGGCGCCGTCATTGTGATGGACAAGTCGACCGACATTGTGGCGGCCATTTCGCGCTTCTCCAAGTTTTACAAGCACGAGTCGTGCGGCCAGTGCACGCCCTGCCGCGAGGGAACGACGTGGATGGCCAACATGATGGAGCGGTTCGAGGAGGGGCGCGCCAACCCGCGCGAGATTGACCAGCTCTGGGAGCTGACGCGGTCCGTCGAGGGCCGCACCATCTGCGCCCTTGCCGACGCCGCCGCCTGGCCCATCCAGGGCCTGCTGCGCTGGTTCCGTCCCGAGCTCGAGGCGCGCGTCGAGGAGTTCCGCAAGCGCAACGGCGCCGTCCTCGCCGGCGGCCACCTGTACAAGGACCACGAGCAGGACCTCGCTTTCCCGCCCAACATGGCGCTGCCGCACATTGAGCACGTCGAGCGACACGTCTAACGGTCATTCGTCGCCGTGCAGCCGTATGTTTCCCCGTCCATCGGTCTCGTTAGTGCAATGACAGACGTTTCGCCACCGATTCGACTCGATCCTGGCGGTGTGAGATGCTGCGGTCGGGGAACGAGGAGATACGATAGCCTTGGGTTGCAGTGACTGGTATGATGGCAGAGGAAGAGGAGAGTGTGGACAGACCGTGGAGAGGCACCTACGAGCTGGCCATGCGGACAGCGTTGGCGCCACTGGCGGCGAACCGCGGCATACCTCGTCCGCCGCGAGCTCCACCTCTAGCACCACCCCGTGACCCTTGGCCAGCACCACCGCCACGTCGAGAGCCCCACTGCGCTCCGCCCTCGCCGCCTGCCGAGTCGGACCGCATCTTTTTCTTGGGCGGTCCTCCCTCTCCCCTTGCGGCTGCTTCGGCCTGCTTGGCCTTGTGCGACGCTGCGGCGGGAGCGACAAAGGACTCGTGGATCTTTTGCTGTTCATAGAGAAGCGACGGCGAGTCGTCCAGACACGGTCGAGGGAGAGGGAAAGGGCAGGAAGAGGCGGTTCAGCAACGAGTCGTCGGTCTCTCGCGTGGTGCATCCTTTCCGCAAGGCTGGGAAGGCAGCGCCTCGCACTCACCCTCTCCTTTTCGAGCGCCTGGTTCTTTTTGGCAATCTTGTCCTTCCTCGCCGCGCTCTTGCCGCCGCCGCCCGCGGTGAGTTCGACGTTGATCTGCCGCCCACCGAGCATGGTGTGGTGGAAGCGCAGCGCCTTCTGCACGGCGGCGTGCGTCTTGAACTCGAGGAACGCGCAGCCCTTGGACTGCGGCGCCGACGGGTCCTTGGCCTTGCCCTTGGCGATCGACTTTTGCTTGGACTTGGACAGCGACGCCAGCGCCGCCGGGTCGCCCTTTTTCGTCAGGAGGCGTACCGACGGCGTCTCGCCGCACGTGCCGCCAAAGTGCGAGGCAATGTCCGCCGACGTCAGGTCGAAGGACATGTTGCCGACGAACAGGATGAGCTTGTTGTTGCTGCTGCCGCTCGCATCGGCATCGTTGCTGGATGTGGTGGCGCCAGCGGTGGGTTCCGCCACCTGCTCGCTGGCAACCTGTCCGTCGTCGCCGAAAGTCGTCTTCTTGGCGCCTGCCGGTGCGACGTCTTCGTTGGCCTTGGCACTCCTGCTCTTCTTCTTCTTGTCTTTCTTGGTCGGGGATGCGGCCGGCTCGACGTCCTCCCGGTCCTCGTCGGCCTGCGCCTCGTCGATCTTCCTCTTCTTTGACTTTTTCTTGTCCTTCTTGCCCTCGGCCGCCTCTGGCCGCTTGTCGGCCTGCACCTCGTCGTCCACTACCGCCGCAGCCTCGGTCTCGTCTGGCTTGTCAGTCTTTTTGCTCTTCTTCCCCTTGTTTTCCTTGCCGCCGACGGGAGCATCGAGGATGCCCTCTGGCTGGATGGGATCGTCGTCGTCGTCCATCTGTGGCAGGTCGCCTCCGTCTGGGACGTGGCGTGCGCCCTTTGACTTTTTCGACGACTTGAAGCTCGCCGCCTTCTGCTGCTTCTTTGTGAGCTTTGGCTGCGTCGATGTTTCCAGCATGGTGGGCCAGCGTGCGGAGTTGATGGGCTGGTGTGAGTGTGGATCGAGAATGGCAATGGAAGGAGGAATGAGGCGAGGGTGAGGGCGAGGGCGAGGGCGAGGGTGGCTTCTCAGGGTTCGCAGGCAGAGGATACGGCGCGGGTCACCGCTTGGCTGGCTTTCCTTCTCAAAAATGTTGGAAATTTGCCAGGTGTGGGCTTGCGCTGCCTCGCCTGGCCTGGGCTTTGATCCGACATCCGAGGTTTTTCCTCCACCTCGGGCTGGAAGGAGAGCGGAGCCGTGTGTTCTCGTGCGAATGACGGCGCCCGTCTGACGATCTGGCTTGTAGGCCAGGCCCGGGCTGCTCCACTTTTGCGATTCCTTCTCGCCTGCCGTTGGCTGTCCTCTGCCGTCCTCTCCTCTCCTCTGCACCACCACGCCACGCAACCTCGCGCGCACCTCTTCTCAACGTCCACCCTCTTTCCTTCCTCTCCCAAACACAAACACAAACACACACACCCCACACACATACATCATGGCAGCACTAGGAGAAGCCGACCAGAAGGGTAAGTCAGGCGCCTGCCCGCACACGCTCGTCATCGCCGTCCACATGCCTCGTCGGACCTTGCTGACCCTCGCCCGCCCCTCCCGCCAACCAATCGCCCGCCCGCCCACAGAGCTCCAGGCCTTTCTCGACTCGGAGCAGGCAAAGGCCCGCGTCCAGTCCTCGATCCACCAGTTCACCGACCGATGCTGGGACCAGTGCATCAAGTCGTCCATCGGCGCATCCTTTGGCCGCGGCGAGGAGGCTTGCCTCAGCAACTGCGTAGAGAGGTTCCTCGACACCTCGCTCTTTATCGTGAGTCCCACGCGTCAACCTCACGTGCTGTGCTGCCACACTTCTCTTGAAACGCAGCTGGCTGACGACCCAGCCTTCATCCTCGCCGTTGACGACCCTTCGCAGGTCAAGAAGCTCGAGGAGCAGCGCGGTCAATAAGATCCTCTCGGTGCGAATAGGCCCGCCCCCTGTACACTACGCTTCACTCCCTACCACGACTCGGCCCACCACATAAAACCACAAGCGAGGCAAAACTCGTCGCCCAAGACCGCCACCACTCCCAAATCTGTGACCGAGATCAGCTGAGCTGCCTGTGCCTCGAAACGAAGCACCACTCCATCAGGCATCGGCTGTGCCCGGGGCGGCCCCGGCTGCCTTGCCGCCGGGGGGTGCCGCATTGGCGGTCGGCCACATGCACGACCCCATGATCGGCTCCACCAGCTTGCCGTTGAAGGCGGTGCACGCCTTTTCGAACGCCGGCGTCATCGTGGCCGCTCCAGCGTCAAAATTGAGCCTGCAGTAGCCGTAGCCGAACGAGGTACCGTTGGTCAACGCCTCGCGACACATTGCCTGGATCGATGTCGACGGCGGAGGGGCAGCGGTGGCGGCGTCCCCTGACTGCGACGACGACGAACCCGGAGACGAGATGGCACCGAGCATCTTGTGGCACTGGGCGGCAAATGTGTCGGCAAAGGCGGGCTGTTGCGTGTGGCAGGTGTAATCCTGGAACGAGGGGTGCGGCTTGTCGGCGCCGTTGCAGCATCGAATGGCCCGGGTGTAGGCATAGTCGACCAGGGCATAGCGGTACGCCCCCGTCCTGGCGGGCGGCAGGTTGTCGGCGGCGTCCGAGTGGGTGGGGTCGGCCTTTGCAGCCTCTTGTTCGATCTGCTGCCTGGACTTGTCGCTGGGCTTGATGCCGGATCCCGACGGAGGCTGAGGGTGCGAAGGGTCCGGCGTCGGCTTCTTGGGCGGGTCGCTGGGGCCCGGCGGCGGGGCGGGCGGGTCGACCTGCTCTCCGAAGTTTTCAAAGGTACACGAGTCGGTGTTGGGCTTGAACGCTCTGCCACCGCGGGCCTGGCAGTCTGCGTCAAACTGGGCCGCGGAGGCGTCAAAGTCGGCGTTGGGCTTGACGGCGCACCAGGCGAGGCCGATGACCTTGAAGCGGTGGCTACACGCGTTGGCCTGGCACTTTGCGTTGGGATCGTAGTAGCCCGGCTTGTCGGAGCAGGCGCGCACGCTCGACTCGTCGATGCCCGTCCGCGTGCCCTGGCAGCAGCTGAGGATTGTCATCTTGTTGTTGGACATCATCAGCGTGTTCCACACGTCGGCCGACAGCGCGACGTTCTGGCATCGCACGAGGTCGATGGTGGACGAGAGGGCCGCCAAGAGAGCGGGAAGAAGCTGCGCGAGAGTCCGAGACAGGGAAGGAGCGACCTGTTGAGGATGCGGCCGACTTGTTCGAAGAGTTCGAGGACCGGTCGACTCACGGAGAGGATCTTCATGGCAATTGGGTCAGGGGTGTTGAGCGAGGGGCGAAGCTGGTGGCGGTGTCAGGACCTCATTATATTCTTCCTTTATACGGCGCGGCGCCTCTCAATGGGCTAACGCTTCGTGGCATCTCATTTCGGTCCTTTGCTGATCTGGCACGTCGGGGCGTCGCTCGGCGGGCGGGGGAATCTTCTGATGAATGCCAGATGGTGGGTCCATTTCGTTTTCGCCGCTGATCGTGCCCGGCCAGCCCGTTGCTGTGGCTGCTCTGTGAAGGCGTGGGACAAGATCAGATGAAGTGATGGGCGCCGAGCTGCGTTGGGATGGGCCGAGGGAAGAATGGTGAATCGGTGGTCGAGGAGGGCAACGTCAGGTGTCGACAGTGAGGAGAGGCCGAGAGCGACAGTGCCCGATCCGTGGTGCTGGCCCGATGGTGGCCAAAGGGGTTGCCCGGGGACGCCGCCGCAGAGGTGGAGTTTCGGCGGACTGCCAACGCAGGGAGGGCAAGGCAGGCAGCGCAGGCGGCGCTTTGGGCACCGTGCGCCGAGGCGCAGGCGCCGTTGGACGCACGCGGGCAACAGGCAGAAGCCACAAGGCTAAGGTGAGGCAGGCAAGCAAGGCCTGGCGGTGTTGGTCTCGGGTCCTGCCCCCGCTCCCAGCACTGCCTCCCTCTCTGCCATCACCATCGTCATCACCATCACCTTCAATCGCCGTCTGGCCATCGCCCCTCATCCTCGTCCACTCATTCCTACCCTAGACACCACCCTGACACCATGTCCGCCACCCTGCAGTCGCTCTTTGCGGCCAACCCTACCACCACTCGCGGCCAGAGCACCAAGCTCGGCGTCGATCCAAAAGGCGAAAAGCTCATCTACACCCAGAACCGCACCGTCATCATCCGCTCCCTCGTCGATCCCGCACAGCCCGCCATCGCCTACTCCCAGCACGCCCAGCCCGTCACCGTCGCTCGCATCTCGCCCACCGGATACTACTGCGCATCCGCAGACCACAGCGGCACCGTCCGCATATGGGACCTCGCCGGCGACGAGCAGGTCCTCAAGAGCGAATTCAAGGTCTTTGCCGGTCGCATCAACGACCTCGCCTGGGACGGAGAGTCGAAGCGCATCATCGCCGTCGGAGACGGAAGGGAAAAGTTTGGCCACGCCTTCCTCTTCGACTCGGGCTCCAGCGTCGGCGAAATCACCGGCCACTCGAGGCCCATCAACGCCGTCGCCATCCGCAAAGAACGCCCCTTCCGCGCAGTCACCGCCGGTGACGACAACAACCTCGTCTTCTACCACGGCGCGCCCTACAAGGTGAGCCGCCGACCTCGTCGACGACCGCTGACCCGCGTGGCCCCGCCGAGGCTTCATCCCTGATCGCGATGCATCCCCCACTTCTGGCTGCCTCCATCACGCAGTACAACAAGACGATCTCGACACACACCCGCTTCGTTCAGGACGTGGCATACTCGCCCTCGGGCGACCACTTTGCCTCGGTCGGCTCCGATGGCAAGGTCTTCCTCTACGACGGCAAGACTGGCGATGTGCTCTCGGAGCTCTCGGCCAAGGTCTCTGCTGGCGAGGGCCACGCCGGCACGATCTACGCCGTCGACTTTGCCGCAGATTCCCGTCGCATCGCCACTGCGGGAGCAGATGGCTTCGTCAAGGTGTGGGACATCCAGACCGAAAAGGTGGTCGAGTCGCACGACCTCAACGGCCGCGCAGCAGCGACGGGAGGGCAGAAGGCCGACGACCAGCAGGTCGGCGTCGTGTGGGCCGGCAGCGACAAGGTAGTCAGTCTCAGCCTGTCCGGCGAGATCAACATCGTCCAGTCGGGGCAAATTTCGTCCCTCCATGGCGCGTGCAAGAGCTTCGGCCCGGGCGCGCTCGCGACGGCTTCGAATGGCAAAGCTCTGGTAGGCGGCGCCTACGATGGCCGCGTCCTTACCTGGACGCTCGATGGCGCGTGCAAGCCCATCACGGGCGGCGGGCACTCGAACGCCGTGCTCGGCATCAGCGCGGCGGGCGACAAGCTGGTCAGTGTCGGCATGGACGACTCGGCGCGGAAGATTGCTGGAGACAGCTTCGAGTGAGTAGCGAGGACACGGAACGCCATGCCCTGGAGACGAATCCGCTGACGGCAACGGTCCTCCCACAATGGCAGGGGCGCGGCGACGCCTCTCTCTGGTCAGCCCAAGGGAGTCGCCGCTTCGAGCAAGGGAACGACGGTGGTGGCCGTGCTCGGAGGCATCGACGTCCTCGCCGCGGGCTCGGGCAACAAGACGCACCTACCCGTTGCCTACACGCCCAGCGCCGTGGCTATCTCGCACGACGACGTGCTCGTCGCGGTCGGTTCCGAGGATGCCAAGGTCTACCTTTACACCCTCGAAAACGGATCGCTCCACGAGCTTGGGATGCTCCGCGGTAGTCGCAGCGCCGTGACGGCTCTCGCCTACGACCCTTCTGCCAGTCTGCTTGCCGTCGGAGAGAGCAGCGGCAAGATCCTCGTCTACGACACGGCTTCCCGCGACGTGAGTGGCTCGTACGACGCTGGCTCGTGTCGATCATGGTCGCTGACTCTTGTCTCCCTGGGCCGAAATTCCGCCACGGGCAGGTCAAGCTGTCGCACTGGGTCTTCCACTCGGGCCGCATCAACTCGATCCGGTTCTCGCCGGACGGCACACACGCCGTCAGCGGCTCGCTGTGAGTCGTCTGCATCGTCGTCGCTCGGGGGAATACCTGCGCCTCGACCGTATGCTCACCGCCGGCCTCGCTCTGCTCCCTCACACTCCTTGCCTGCCGCTTGGACAGGGACACGCACGTCTACGTCTGGAGCGTCAAGAAGCCCATGAAGAACATCGCCATCAAGAACGCGCATGCTGGCGGCGTCAGCGGCGTCGTGTGGATTGACGATGCAAGCATCGCTAGCGCTGGTGCCGACGGCTGCGTGCGCACGGTGAGTGACCCGAATGCTGGCGGCAGCAGCGGAACCGGACCCCCGGCAGTCGTGGCTGACCGTGATCGTGTCCTGCCTGGTTGGTTGCTGTGGACGCTTTCCCCCGCAGTACGACATCAAGAGGCATGAGGGTGCTTGAGGTGCCGCTGGCTTCTGTTCTTTGCTGTAGATAGAGAGAGATATCAGAAGGTGGTCTGTCTGATGGTATGAAGGGAGGATGCCTGCGCCGGTCGGGTGAGAATGGACCAGCTGAGCAGCAAGTTTGAGCCCGAGGAAGCTGGGCGTGCGTGGAGGTTTGCGCTCGGTCTGGCCGTTTTCCGAGGCAGGCGCAGCGAGCGCCCCCCACCAAAAATGGCTGCCGAGGAATGGAATCCTTCTCGACCCGCTTCTCCCCGCCACCACAACCACCGTACGTGTTTTATCCTCCGCTCCTCCGTCCTCTTGTTCCTCCGCCTTCTTTGGACAACGATCACGCGCTTGCCATGGTGGAGACACACCTCCCACTCCAACCTGGCGATCAGTCATCCGCGGTCCAGTCTCACCTGCGGTACGCAGCGACGACGCCGCACCTGAACCCACACGGGCTCGAGATCCGCGATGCCGGCAACGGAAGCGGACGAGGCATCTACGCCTCACGCCGACTACCCGCGGGCACCCTGCTCGAGATCTCGCCCGTCCTGCTCTTCCCGCCGGGCGAGTACGACAAGTTTGGCAGGCACACGCAGCTCGACGGGTACACGTTTGTCTGGCGTCGCACCGAGGCCGGCAGCATCATGGCCCTCGCCCTCGGCCTCGGCTCGCTGTTTAACCACTCGACCAGCCCGCAGGTCAACTATCGACTCGACCACGAGCGGCAGTGCATCACCTACACCCTCATGAGGGATGTCGAGGTGGGCGAGGAACTCTGCATCAGCTACGGCGTGGGAAGGATGTGGTGGGAAAAGGAGGATGCCATGTCGATCGAGGAGCGGGAAAAGGTCGACGACGAAGAGGAAGAGTACAAGAAGATGGCCGGCGTCGGTGCCGAGGGCTACGTCAGCAGCGAGGAGGAGGAGGCTGAGGGGCAGAAGGAATCCGTCAAGACCGCCTCCTCGACGCCGTCCGGGATCGATCTGCAAGCGCAAGCCGGGCCCAGCCGCAGCCCTCCTCCTGCTCCGCCCGCCGTCGCCGCCGCAGCTTCCACCGACGCACGCCGCAACGGCTACCCACCGCTCTACCGCATGACGTCGGCGCAGGATCCTCGCACCATCGCGCTGCAGACGACGGCGGCGTGGGTGGTCGACATTTCGCCGCGCAAGAGCTCCGTGGCGGTCAAGTACGTCCTCAAGCAGGCCACGCGTCTCCAGTCGCGCGACGACAGCCGCTACTCGACGCGCCACCTGCGCTCGTTCAAGACCGAGAAGCGCAAGGTCGTCGTGACCACCGCCGACGGCGGGAGCGAGGAGAGGGAGGAGACGCTGATACGCTTCCTCGTCTGTCTCCGCGACGCCCTGCCGCAGAGGGACGAGGTAATCCAGCTGCTCCGGAATGCACCGGACCAGGCGTTTGCACCGCCCCACTCTGACGCCGCCGGTGGCGACAGCGAGGCGCAGGAGCAGGATACGGACCCGCGGCCCTACCTCGTCGACGTGCCCACGACTGCAGCGCCGATCAAGGATCGCCTTGCCGAGTGGGCGCAGGTCTGGCCCTGCGTCGTGCGGACCGGCACCTTCAGCCCCAACGCCGGCGGGCCCACGGCGCCACCGGGGACGACGTCGGTCGGGGTCGTGGATCGAGCCGCCGAGGAAAAGCTGTGGAGCGCCGACGAGCGGCGGCTGCGCTGGGCCGTCAATCGGCTCCGGCGCGTCGTCGCCCTGGCACGGAGGGCGCAGGCGAACGGCGAAAAGGGCATCGCGGTGCACGTCACCCACCCCTTTGAGGAGAGCGCCAAGTGGGACGGGTGGAGCGAGAGAGAGGCGCGGGACTGGGCGCTCCTCGAGGGTGCAGAGGCCCCTCGGGTCGGAAGGGACGAGGGTGCGAGCACGCCGGCCTTTATCAGGAGCGTCATCGAGGTCGATGCGACCGACTCGCGGGTGTCGCTTCGCAACCCGCTCAAGCACGCCGTCGTGCAGTGCGTGGCAAAGGTGGCCGAGCTGCGCAGCCAGGACCGTCGACGCAACCCTATCCTCGCACCCAGCACACCCAACACCTCCAGCGGAGCATCTACGCCCTCCTCGACCTCGACCTCGACCTCGACCTCGACGACGACGACGACGACGACGACGGCGCCGAGCAACGGACAAGACTACCTGCTGACGGGCCTGGTCCTGTTCACGACGCACGAGCCGTGCGTGTACTGCAGCATGGCGCTGGTGCACTCGCGCGTCAAGGCCGTCTACTTTCTCCTCGGCGCGCCCGGCCGCGGCGGGTGCTGCGGCGCCACTGCTCAAGCCGGCCGCGCGGTGCCCG